CATTCAGTATTTCTTGGGTACATGTGAATCAAACGTTTTGCATTTTAATTAACTTTCATTTCAAATTATATTTTAGAAGCATGAACAGTAAACAACATACACAGCCAATAGGAAATCTCATTTTGTGTTCTTAAAAAAAAAATTGACAATTTAGTTACTAGAATGAACTATAGTGACTGAAATGGAATAAATAAAACCTTACACTTGTGGCGTGTTTGTGGGCGCGCGCGCGATCTCGACGTCGGCCTATTTTATGACGATATAGGCCATAAACTGTTCTTAGCAATTTTGAAATATGCCGTATTTTTCTACGTATCTACCACGATCTGTCTTCAATTCTATGTCTAGGCGGGGAAATCGGCGAGACGAGGTTTTGTCCATATTGTTGCCAATATTGTTTGATATTATGGAAAATGCAAAAGAAACACAAATACATTAGCTATTCAGTAAGAATTTGAAAACCTACTGAATTTTATGACCTACTGAAATACCATATACCAGTTGCTCTATGTCCTTGGGGGGGGGGGGATTGCACCTTTAAGATTAATGTTCAGGGCATGTTATTTTTGTTTTGAAATGGTCTGTGTATAGGTGTCTGATGACCTATCAAATGTTATTCATTTAAATGTCAGTTGAAAATGCAATCCCAATCTTTGGGAGGAAAGTTGTTTTTGTTACTTCCTTTCTGTCTCAAGTTAAAAGTTTAGTGTATTGAACCAATCAAATAGATGGGCATTCTCTATGGGAGTACCTAGATGTTCCGTAAAGGAGTTTTTATCTTCGATGATGGGTTTTAGTCCTCAATATTAGTGAATTCTTTAGTAATACATGTTGGTAACGAATTTATGCATGCATACATTTACATACAGGTTTTCATTTCTAGCATACTTTTCGAATAGCATTCTGGTACCTCTGGAATGAAATAGGAATAAAAACAAGGAAAGTAGTGGACACACATTTGGAAACATCCATTGTTTGATCAACTTTTGTGAATTCAAAATCAATAAAATTTAAATAATTGTTTCTAATAATTAAGTGAATTATTTGTAAAAATGACATGGGGGGGATGTTCCGGGACGTAACATTTTTTTAAATCGATGCATACTTGCATTCATACATCATTTTTATTTTACCTACTTTACATTTAAATGCATTTTATTATATTTATATTTTCTTGCCTTGGGTAAAAATCATTTTCAGTGTTAGTACTTCCAATAGTTGCCTACTGTTAACGAACCTCCATTTGTGTGCTAAGATTGCAAATTGATAAGTCACTTTTTCATCTAATGAGAGACAAATTGACAAGTCACTCTTCTTAATGTTCAGAAGTAGGTAAAAAGTGCATTTCTCTTGTAGTTCATGACAAAACAATGGAGGTCAATGGCAATAAGACTAAAGCCACAGAGTATTTTTTCATGAAATTTTTGTGCTTAAAATTGGAGCCATAGAAAATATTTAAAAAGTGACTTTCAACATTTTGCCATCTTTGCACAGATTTTCTTGTGTATACTAAATGTCATTTTGGTATGCATGACATTGGTACTATGTCTTAAAAGCTCAAAATCTAACTTTTCTTTCATGTCTATCCACAAAAATAAAAAAGTTAGTGAAAAAATTCAATCAATAGGTCTTGGTGAGTGCTAAGCTGATTCTCTATGTAAAGAAGGCTCTGTTGATTTCAAGAATTAAACCTTAGGTCACTTTCATATCTACCATCTCATTAAAAGAAATAAAATTGAAATGGAGTGAGCAGCCATGATGCCACATCAGTGGCCATGATAAGTTATTTAATTCTCAGATCCCTTTGCCCTTCAATTTCCGCAAGGAGGAGGTTATGTCCCAGGACAGGTTATGAAAATGCTCTTTCCATCACCAATCTTCATTTCAACTCAAATTCAGTTACTGCATACTTAATTTTCCTGAAAGTTGTCTCTAAAGAGGGCAAATTTTTTTAAAAAAATGCTATCAGTCTCATTAGTAGTTGGGATGGGGTGGATTGTAAACGGATATAATTGGCATGCAAGTATTGAAGATTTATAGATTATCAGATTTATCCGGTTATGTTGTATGAGAAACAATTGGTCAAAACATCTTAATCCAGAGACAGTTATTTTGACTTGGCAATGTCACAACAGTTTTAACCTCATGAATGTAATGTTTCTACATTATTGAAATGAAATAATCTGGGTTCTGGTGTAGTTTTGGTGTATGTTCAAGAAGTTAAAAATGGTTTAAGAATTCTCATTAAACCAAATTAAAATAAATTGTGGAGTACATTTAGAAATGTTCCGTATTAAGCTGTAATTAACATAAGTCACAATAGTATTTTTGCTGCATTAGATGCCATCAGCAAAGAACATAACAGGGCTAATTTGGAGATTAAAAATTAAACTTTCTAAATATTATGTACATATTTAAATGTTTACTAGTGGAATCCAGCCAACTTTCTGTGCATCTCCTTTCTCCTTCCCTCTCCCTTTCTCTCTCATGTCCCTATCCCTCTGTCCCTCTCATGCACATTTAGTTGCAGTCTCTGAGCAGGTAGGGAAATATTGAGAAGCATCAGGCCAGCAGTAATAAATGTAATTGAATGTTAAAGATCTCATCCTGTAGATCATGGTGCATGTAAGTTTTTTTTCTTCTTTGTTTTGTTACGAGGCCTTTAGCCTCAAAATATTAGTTTTTAATGCCGTAGAACGGTTCAGTTAGGAGTTAATTAACGATACAGAATCAAAAAATTCTGCAGATCCTGTTGGTTGCATTTGACATGAATATTTGGTTTCGTACCACAGAGCCATCTACTGAATTTTTCCTATAATTTAATAGTTGCTATTCAGGATGAAGATAAATACAACAAATACAAGATAATTAAAAGCTGTTTTTGTTGTAAATGGTGTCACTTAACCGATCAGCTACCGTCCCAACTACAAAAAGTGCTGAGAAGGCAGTGCTTACGTACTCGTGTGGATAAAATTTCTTCGCAGAACTCGGGAGCCCCTAGTAATTGCCCAATTTGTCCACTGTTTTGTGCATTAAAACTTTGTTTTGGAGTTTCTCCGTAAATCAGCAATATTGTTGCTGTGTGCATTGTTACAGAATATTGCCCCAATTCATGAATTTTTTGTCACAGGTATTTTAGTTTGTTGTTAAAATCCAAAGCCAATAATTTACTTATTTAGCTCTATCTTAGAAATCTCCCTGCAGGTGTCTAATGCACTGGTTAGTAGATAAAAAATGCAACTTGGTAGAAAGGTAAACTATTTAGCTTGAAAAGCTACTTGTAGAAAGCTTCCTTTTAACTTTTATTTTGCTTGCCATAAAGTTCAGTAGATAGATTGCTATTACCCATGCCTCATGTAACATTCACCTAGCAGTTACAACTTCACATTTCAAGTTTCACTTCATATGGGCTATATAAATTGTATTTTGGTATAACGTTTGTTTTGCCAAATTATTCCAATATGGTGCGGAATGATGTTGAATAACATTGCAATCCAAACAAAAGACAATCATTGTTGTGCTATTTTTTTTATTGTACATCGTAAAGAGTAATGTACATACGTTAAGACTGAATTTAAAAATCTTTGTTAATTGAATAAAAAATTATTCATCAAATGACTGAATGTAAGTAATGATATCTTAAATCATATTACAGTAATTAACGACTACTGTTCAACCATAACGATTAGATTGGCTGTCAATCTTCACTTAAGTAATCTTCCTTTTATGCAGTGGCAATGATTTGCTTAATGATGGTTTTAGAACGTAGATGCTGTAATTCCAGTTCCATCAAAGACGTATCCTATTAAAATAGGATGAATTTGTTTGTTTTTTCCCCCATGTATTTTAATTATACATAGTTATAAATTACTTTTATTTTCCCGCAGTTTCTTTATTGACTACATTCATTTTTAACATATAATGCCCAAAGTTGTCATATGTATAACCCATTGTTGTACTATATTATGTCACATTTCATTAATTATTATAATTAGTTATTGTAATATATCTGCTGAATACTGTGGTTATAGCGTTTCATTCATCATTTATCTGATTTGTTTGCAAGAAAATTGCAACTCCTTTCGTAGGTTTAGAGAGTTAAGTTAAAGGTCCTCTCCTGTCAGAAATTACCTCTTTTTCTTTTTTTCTGCCATTCCTTTTATTGTGAAGCACTGTACACTATGGATCGTATCACTGCAAGGTTTGCTGTTGTTGCTAACTTTCCTAAATTTTGATACTTATATAAAATAGTTACTAAATAATAGAGTATATTTAGAAACTTTTTCTTTTGTATTTTTTAAAAATGTATATGGTTTTTCTTTTCTTTTCCCCTTTAACATTGAAGACTTCGTCGGTAAAACAGATCACTGTGAATCCAAAACCTTTTCTGTAATGTCAATTAAGGTACGGTTTTACAGAAGTAATGGAGTGCCAATTTGGGGAGGTTGCTGCAATGAAAGGAATAATGTAAATATGAAACACTCGCAACTCAACACTAACTTAGCCTAATGAAAAAATCATATGAGACAATAATTGTAATGATTTATGAATACTACATAGTGAAGTACTGAAAAGCAGTTGTCATGTCTGGCACAGGTGTTTGGATGTGTGTGTGCGTGCGTGCACTAGTACCGTAGTTTGCAAATCACTGTTCTGTGTAGAAATATGAATGCAATATATGAATGGTAGTGTTTGATAACATTGTATGATCATTTTGTTATTAATTTTTTATCAATACAATTTTGTAAATATAACTAACAATAAAATTTGAAGTTGATAAGTTTTTATAAATCTTGTCAAGTGTCAATATTCTGAATTGTTTATGTAATCTTCATGCAATAATTTCTGTGCAAGAATTTTTGCATTCAGAGGCTGATTAGTAGTAGTGAATTTATTTCTCTAGAAAAGAGCTATGCCCCACTCTCCTATGTTTGGTCTTGCTATTCTGTACGTCTTGGCTGAACAATCCATCCATTGCTATTAATGGTTTTTATTTCCAGGGAACCCCGTGAAAATAGGCCTGATGGTGAGTTCCGTGGACGTGGGCGTGGTGGTAGTGGCATCGGTGGGGGTGGTCGTGGATTGGGCCGTGGCAGAGGTATGAGAGGTGCTGGACGTGGAGGTTATGACAACAGGGGCAAGAGGGAGTTTGATCGACAGTCTGGATCCGATAAAACGTAAGAATATTGTGTGCAAGTAATTTTGATAAAGATATTAATTATGTCATTCCATGCAAAAAAGTAGGTCTTATGACATTCTTAGAACTCAAAGTTACTACAATATGACATTTTTCCTACCCCCAAATATGAATTGCTTATAGTTTAAGTGCAAGAGTAACTTATGAATGCGCGTTTAAAATCCACATTTTATCAGAGCACGTGCCAATGTTTGTTGTCAGATTTGCCACACTTTATTTATTTTTTTACTTATTATATTAATCTAAAAGGCATTCCCTGGACACATAGCAAGCCTTTTAATTGCGCCGCCTATGCCATCACAGGATTCCTTATCATTTGTAACAATGAAATGCCAGTCACATTATGTTTGAAAATCAGACTTATGATGCAACAAGTTAATAATGTTCCTTGCAGGTTAGTGACATAGAGGAGTTAAAAATTTATTTCTATTATTGTGTCCTGTTTTTCAATTCGTGGTTACATAAACTCCTCCTTAGTGGTTGATTTACTGTCTTTATATTTTCTGTCCTGTCTCAAGTGTATAATTTGTGCAAGTATTTTTCAATATCTTGAAAAACTCATTCACAAGTTTAGACAGTAAAGCATTTGCATCGCTTTCACTGTTTTCACTACCACACCGTTACACGGAACTTCTCTCCGATGTAATGTAAGTTGACTACACATTCAACAAACTCAGATTTTGTGATTCCCTTAAACCGCAGTACAGTTTGCTGCAAAACAATGCGCAACCTTGTGCAAGCATTGCTATCCTCGGCTTCATAAGGCATTAACAAATTAGAAAACAAATATTATCTGAAACCCACTGTCATAAACTTAAAAACTTTTGCTTGGATTGACCCATTTTGAAATGTAATTTACGGTTTTTATACTTGCCCTTTTAGAGGAGTGAAGCCTGTTGATAAACGTGATGGAGCTGGAGCTCATAATTGGGGCACTCATAGAGATGACATTGAGTAAGTACAATGTATATAGTAGCTTTTAACAACAGTTTAATTTGGTTGTTCTTATAATTGAGCCTCTGAATGTAATTGTTTAGGGAGCAGTTGAATTCTCCAAGATTGACAGATGATCAAGCTGAATGGGGTGAGAAAGTTGAAAATGAAGTTCCTCATCCTGCAGAAACAACGGAAGTAAAGTAAGCATCTCTCCGTCATGCTTTTCACTTTCTCGCCTTTACAAAGTATGAAGTACATATGTAAGAAGTATGAACGTATACATAAGTATACGTACTTAAGAAGCATGAATGTATGAAGTACCTACTTCATAGGAAGGGAGATAACTAATCATGCGCCAGAAAATGTGTATTTTCGACAGGAAAAACTTTTTTTTGTCTGGCCCTGGTAACGAGAAAATAGATTATTCCTATTGTTGTATATAGTACATTACTCCCTCTAGCAAATGGTGTAGCCAGAATCCATATTTTGTGGGTACTTTATACAAAAAATTGATTGACAGCAAAACGTCTTGTCCGTTCATGAATGTTCAATGCTAGCACCCAAACCAGCCGGCTGATTTCCTTCAAAATTCAAATTCCGTGATCTATCTGAACGAACTCATGGAGAATCAAACGGATGTTTTGTAGCTCCCTCATTGGCACATACTTTGCAAGATTTTCGTAGCAACATGATCAGAATTTGGGTGTCAGCAAGTTAAATGTAGCAAGAGTATTATCGCATACGGTGGAGTTGATTATTTCAGTGTCTTGGAATTTGTGTAAATGATTTTGCTGCATTTTTATTGTAGTTTACGTATTGATTAATTAAACATTGAAAATGCAGGGTTCAAAATGGCCTTCTGTGAAGAGTTTGGGGAATAAGTGGTATAGTTTCCATACCAAGCCTTTCCTAATCATAAGGCAAGATTGGCGTGAATTTAATGAAAACTAATAAAGTAGTTTTAGTGCTACTGAATACTCTATAATTTTCCAGTCTTAATTAGCCTCATATTTCAACCTGCCTGGCCATGAAAGTTTTGGACCCCAGGCTTTATTATTACATAATTTTCTTTCCGATTTTTTTAATTTTGCAGTTTTTAGCACCTTATGCCATTTTTTTCTAAATGTTCCCCATTCTCTCTCCTTCTCCTCCTCCCCCTCTCCATTTTTAAAATTTGATATGGGAGAATTAGACTTGATCTTTCCTTCCTATTATAAAATTGATGAAATGGTCACTCCTAATGCTTATTTTTACAGGGAGTCAGATGGAACTGAAGATGAAAATGCACAACCAGTGGAGGAAGAACCTCGTGAATTGACTCTGGATGAATATTATGCTATGCGCCGAGGTAGACAAAAGCCCACGTACAATATTAGGAAAGCCGGAGAAGGTGAAGACTTGACTCAATGGAAAAAAATGTATGAATTGAAGAAGAAAGATGGTGAAGAGGAAGAGGAAGAAGAAGAGGTATAATTTGTCAAAGTGAATGTAATTTTGTTAATATTGCTTTATTCTAAGTTGTTATTTTTCTGTAGGAATATGATGCATCGGAGTATCCTCAGCGTGTTGGTCGACAGAAACATTTGCTTGATATTGATATTCATTTTGCTGATTCTCGACGTGGAAGCCGGGGCCGTGGTCGTGGTGGTCTCAGAGGCACAGGGCGTGGACGTGGTACTGGAGCTCCGCCTGGCATGTCTCGTGGTCCTGGTGAAAACCGAATTCCACTTCCTGTAAGTGTTTTTCATCATATTCTTGGTTCTCTGTAGGTAAGCTTTTAGATTAAACAGATATTCCGGATATAAGAAGGAATACAGGAATAAATAATTTTTTACAAAATAAAAATTCCATTTACTTTAATCTTGTTACTTTTGTCTACATATGGAACCTAGTAGTAACGTCAGTGGTCTTGTTTTATCAATTTAATATGCAATAAAATCCAAATCATAAAACAAAATCTGTTATTTTTTATGGAAAATTAGTAACATTTTGTGCTAGTGCTAGGTTCCTTTCATTCGTAAGTATAATGTTTGTAAATGTTGAAAATATATTCTTTTTTCTTTGCAGTCTCGTGGATTCAGTGAGCGTCCCGAGCGTGAACCGTTTCAACGTAATCCACGGCAGAGTGCTCCAAAAGTTGATGATGAGCACGATTTTCCTTCTTTGGGTTAAAGAAGCACTGTTACAGGATTCATTGTTTTGATGTCGTAAATCCTAATCCCCCTTCTGCCACTTCTTTGCATATTTTTAATTGTTGGAGACGTTCTCCAATTTACATTCATGGAAGTGGGTCTTCCAACACAAATTTCCAAAATGAATCATTAGGGAAGAAGTTTTGTTCACGTTCACGTGGTGAGTGTGTCTTTTCTATCACTCAATTCGTATGTTACTCTTGTATGTACAGCAAAAGCAGGTTAATTGCAAACCTGTGTTCGATCCCTAGTCAGTTCTCAATGGAGATGTTGTTTCCCTGATTTTTTAAACAAAATAATCTAGCTGATGGAATTACAAGAGTATTTAGTTTCAAATTGTCCTGTGATAAAAGTTTGTATTTATAAATGTTAAATTATTACAGGCTAAGGTGAAGGATTAAAATAACACAATCATCTTTGTGACATTCTATAGTTCAGTGAACTTCACTAATTCTAGACTCAGAAGTGCTAAGTGCGCTTATGTGATAAGTGAAGAGGTGTGTCAGAGAATGTATGACTGTAATGTATTGGATACACCCACTAAAATTATTAAGGACTGGCTGTAGCCATTACTTGAATCTTTAAATGGTGAATGGCAGTAATCATCTGCATTGATCAGCAGAATTTTGTTTGCTTTCATTTCTTCATGGATTTTTCTCTCCCCTTTCCTTTCAAAGGAAAATTTGTGAAATGATCTGTGGTGTGAATGAGCCACTTTCACATGATCATAGCACATTACCTCCCCCTTCATGGGATAATATTTGGAATATTATCAGCTGTGGTTTTCACTATACCGTTCTCCAGTGAATATTTTAATGAGATGTATAGTATGAATTCATAAACCGTGCTGGTATACAGATAGTTTTTTGTCTAAAAATTAGGGGCTACTGAAGAAGTGGCTACACCTCAATGTAAATAATTTTTTAGTGTACAGCACTGACTTTGGTCATCAATTGTAGAGACTGATGTCTCATCAAGTGATTTGCATTTGAATAGAACGTGAACATAATGCTTTAATACTGCTCTTTAATTTGTATGAATTCCAAGCAGTCAAACTTACTTTTTTATATTTGTTTGTTAAATGCAATGAACTGGGCATGCTGTCCTAAAAATATGGCTTCCCTTAAAATTGTTATTTGCATGTTATGTGGTCAGCACATATTTCAAACTTAGGACAAGTAGGGGGCAATTGTTATGTGTAAGGTGTTCAAAGCTTCAGAAATATTATCTTACCTGCTCAATTGCAAAATCCATTAGTGGGGGGTGCCTTTTTCATGGTTGTATATCCTCCAGGATTTAATTTTAATGAACAAACTTCAATCAAATATTCATTGCAACATAACTTACAGGTATTCTGATTCATAGTATATTAGCTAATGTTATATTGCACAGCTGTTACGAATTTTCTGTGTTTTAACGTAAAAATGTTAATTTTCTTTTTGAGGAGGAGGAGGAATGAGGAAGAATAGTGAAGTTCATTTTCTTGTTATAATCAATGAAAAATTCAAGTGCAAAAATGTGACTGCTTCATTCTCCTTAATTTTCTGAATGGGTTGTTTGTGTTTGAAAGGCATAATGTCACAATTTTTTTTTTCTTTCTTTTTTGTCAGTCGAACATCTTAGAATAGGCAATTGCTTTCCCTCTATATTTATGATAGTAGTGGTTTGGTTTTTTACAGATATTTGTAAGGTGCATAAACTTGAGTGAACTGTAGTTTATATTTTTAATTGCTATTTAAGTATTACAGGCACTGTTTGAAATATTGCGTTAATATACATGAAGCTTAGTGTACATTTACTTTTTCATTAATATTTGCTCTTGATGAAGATTTTGTGGAATTCTATCAATGTTGGTGGTTTTGGATGCACTAAAATGAAAATGAATAATGGAATACCATATTGTACACATGTAGGATATCTTCTTAAAAGTTAAATTATTTTTGGGGGGTTTATAGCCAACAAAGCAGTTCAATGTTATTTGTACTGAAATATCTGGCTTTCGAAATTATTTTGGCCTATATAAGATCTTCCATTCTTCAGTTTTCATGTCAAAAGTATGTTAATTCACTATATCTAAAGTATTTAAGAATTTACTTCGTATTCATTGAGAGATTAGTTCACTAAGTTACAAATACTGCATATGCATATTAAGTTTTCATTCAACGATTACAATCAGTCATTAGTCATCCAAGGATCCAAATAGACATGCACCACAATCACGTATTTAGACTCCAGTGGGAAAGTAGATGCTATGTATTCTACTTTTTATGCCCTTCTGACCAGTAATTGGTTTTGCCTCCTTGCTGCTTATTGATGGACATTTAGCAAAAAACAAATATTATGTTATTTGAAATTCTCTTGTTAGATTGAAACGGTATTGTATTCATGGTCCACATTTGACTTGCTGATGGGCATGCAAGACCATATCAGTAGTAAAATACTGGCAGTTTCTGGTAGTCAATTTCTGAAAGATTTGTTAGATATGTAGTATGCTGATGAGCAGACAAATAACAAGTTTTATGTTCTTCATTCAATGAAATTTGAACTTCAGGGTGCCCATGTTAACTGATTCTTGTAGCAGGAGAGCATTTGTGTTAATTCTCTCTGTAATTTGTTTGATTGTTTACTGGTCAGCAATAAAGAGGAGAAAATTTATCAGAAGTGAACCTTACTTTTTTGCACTTGTATCGATATTGAGTGCATGAAAATGATGTACAGAATCAGTAAATGGGAATACTAGTAGGTTCCATTTTTAATTCACTTCTTGCCAATTAGCCAAAGTTTTGAGTGGTTCACGAAATGTGTGGTACTGAATTAAAACTTTGTATGTGGCTTGCATGCAGTATTTACATAATCTTCATTTTCATAACAGTATACCATTGAAATACCCATATTGTCTATACACGATTTTTCAACCATATTTATAAAGGACACTTCATCTTTCATGTTTTGTCAACATTTCATGTGGGAAGTTCATCTTAAAATAGAATTTACGCATGTTAAAATGTGTGTACTGTGTTATACTATGGTTTATGGAAGCAACTCGTCACTCCTCAATACCTAGCTCACAGAAGCTCTCCAGTGATGCAGCCAGTTGAATGTTCCATCTCCACGTTTTTTGTAATAATTCTTCAGCTGGATGGCTTCTGGGTTTTGTATAACTGGGGTCATTGTACATCTCCTAAATCATAAGAGATCCATATTCTGTAAATATATTCAGATTAATTTTTGCATGTTATCACATTTGCCAATGGTAATGCTATTGATAGTTTCAGCTATTCTATACATTTTGTTGATTATTGAATATAATTTTTGCATGACTAGTGTGTAATTTCTCAGTTATTTTGTATGTTCGCGAAAATGATACAATTTTTTGTTGTAATATTGGTCTATTTCTATGCATTAGTCCAGTTAATTGGTTGGACAGCAAAAATTAGTGATAAGTGCTTAGAAAGTGTGCACGCTGCAGTTGCAGTCCTAGATGGTATTGCAGCTAATAAATTTTGTGCACAGCAAGTGAGCAAGGAGGGTGGTTTCTGAAGCTATGGGCAGGATTGTCCATTCTTGTTTCATAATGTTACTTTAAATTTTCTGAAGATTCGTCCAAAGTTAATGTTTAAGTATAATGTTGACGTAGTGTACATTTGAGTTTTCATAACTTTTCCTTCAGCTAAAACCTGCATTTAAGTTTAACTGTAAATTGAAGTGTTGGTAGAGTTGCTCATGTGTGGGCATTCTTAATATTGTGAATGAAACTTTTTCCTTTCTTGTACAAGGAATGGTGTTTGCAGGTTTATTTCTGAAGGGGTATTGCTGTAGAAGTATTCGCAGTTCTATTCACGAAGAAGTGTTCTTAAATCGTTAAAAGAACTAAATCTTGTGAATTGAAAGTGGAATTAGTATAAAGCAAATTTTTGGTTTGCATCGAGACATTTTGTTAAAAATTGTCATAGAATGAAAAATAAAGGGATTCACACATCATTTTTTTTCTTGTTTGCCTGTGGTTTTGTCCAGTGAATTTTTGTTGCTTTCATATTTTGTATAAATAAAATAACTGCATTAAGGTGCCTTCGAGGTGGTATTTTTGTGGGAAACAATCTAATTTGTGCAATCTCAGCATTCATTCTCAAGGTCTATGAAATATTGGTTTTCTTCATCCAAGAGCACTGCACAAATAAATGTGAAAACACTAAATAAATCTAAATTATGAAAGATTAAAGTAAAAGAAATCAAAGGATTACAAGCGTGTTGATCACTTTTGGAAGTTTGCACTCTTACATATTTTAGGAATTTTAAATATTATTTGTTTGCTATTTAAATTCTCATAAAATTGGGTATATTCTTTATAATTAACGAGAGTGCTAAGACTCAACTCGTAAACTGGAAAATTTCAGGAAACTAGGAATTAGTTTTAGGACTTGTACAAGTACAAGTATACTATAACAGTTCATGGTATAATTGGTAGCCCCTGAAATAATGAAAACTTTTTTATGTATTGAATAATTTTATCATTAGTAAATAAGTTTTTGCTCTTTTAACTACAAAGATATTTTTGACTCAATGTTTAATTTTACTCTGTGAAATGTGACTGATATTTCATTTTAATTTTGTTGTTTTAGTAGGGGAAATGAGAATTAACTACTACATGTGGGGAAATAACTGTTAATTCAATTCTCCAAAAGACTGCGGTCAGGTATTTAGTGACGTACCGCCACTCCGGAGTAATGTACAACTCTTCCTGTTAAATCTCGCGCTAGTTGGTATGGATGCATTTCCAGCGACCTCTTAGTACATTTTCAAGGCAATTCCCTATTGGCAATGTATCGCCATTCTAAATCCGCTATCCACTTTTTTTTGTCAATACCAAATGGCTGGCCTGGAACTGATGTTTATGAAACATTTTGGCTAAAATCCAGGTTGGTAAATTTGATCTGAACAGTGAGCATCTACATTCTAAAGTGTTCTTAGTATTTGTTGTAGGTGCCTCAAAATAAATAAACCATTTTAGTAATGCAGGTGGTTTTAATATTGGTCAATTCTTAAGTGGTGTTAAAATACGCATTGTGATTCTTACCATATACATTACTTTAGTTCCATGCTTGCCAAATGTGGTACCGCGGTGGATCCAGAAGGGAAGCCATGCCACTCACCATAAGGCCTAGAGTTGTAGTTCGTTACCTTTGATTGGGAAAAATTGTCTTACACTACGCAAATGGTATACAATACAACAATTATTATTATTTAACAAAAATGTATGATTGTCTGGATCCGCCTATGGTCTCGTTACGGTCAATATGATCCGAAAAGATTAAAGTTTTGATTGTACAAAGATGGCCCTAAGTTTTTCGCCGAAAGACGTGATATACTAGAATCGTTTGGAAGTACTGCAAAAATGTTCAGCGACATCGAGATGAAATTCAATCTTGGTAAATGCGGTACAGTAAAATCTGTCAAAACCGGAAGGTGTAAAAGCCGTAAATCAGTCTTAACCGGAAAATTCGTGAATGTAAGGCATGTTGCACAGCGCTGACCAATGCGGAAACTGAACGGTTTTTCATTGTGTGTGTGTGGGGGGGAGGGCTTTATAATGCAATATTCTTGTGAATTTAATACAATTGGCAGAGGTACGTACATATTCTTAATGAAATGATTTGCATCTGAAAGACTTAAACTCTCTATCCCTGTGTCACGCGATTTAGTCGTGTGAAGGAGAGACTTCTGCTCAGCGTAGAATTCTAGTAGATGTAGTCAAAGAAATATGTGACGGGGAAGAAGATAGTCTGCGCACGTTTTCTCGAGTTCCAGAATCCCGTTCCATTTTAACTAGAAATAGTTGAAAATTAGTAAAGGTTGAAGATAAATAAATGTAAAATTAAAAAGAACACTATGGTGTCGCTTGTCCCTGAAAGCGTCGGAGAATTCCCGACTCTGCGTAGGAAGGTGTACTGGCATGGCTGTTATTCACGAATCTCCCTGCCCCGCATTGAAAATCGTGACTCCTCGGCCAACAAGGGTATCTTAGTCATAGTACTCTGGGCTGGAACAACTTGTGCCTTGAAAGAGTCAGCAAGCAGTTCGAATGCAGCCACTAGGCCGTGAGTATATTTTTACGAGTTTCACAACCAGTTAACAATTGTTGAAAAAACATTCAGCTAACGTTAGATGAAAAGGTCAAACTAATGGAAGGAAGAGTAACTGAAGCTGATTTTTGTGTCCCGATCGATTCCGGATTACATTTTACTGTATAATAAATATTCAAAAAGATTCTGCACCTGTGCCTGTACGAACTTCCTCATTCGGAATTGTTAAGTGGACTGAATTTGTTCTGGAGGAGCTGGACTTGCCTAGAGGGCTGTAACATTCCGTTCTCTTTATCCAAATTTTTCCAGAATTATATTTTTGCATCGAATGATAGAGGATTAATTAATATTAAAAAAAATATTTGCTTGAGACGAGGGGAAAATTTGCGACAATCTTCGTAAACTCCGTGGACATGTTCATGAAATGATGTATCTTGGTCCACTCTTAATTCTAGCCACCAGGATGTATGAACACCAAATTATAAATACACTCTTCCAGTCCTGTAATAAAGTTCCTCGTTTTTGTACTGAGACACGTCATAACTGGCCGTTCTATCGATCACAATAGACGTATTCTCCCAGGGGAAAATTCAGAGACAATATTAGGAGGGGAATTCAAAATGTTTTGTTCGAATGTCACATTACAGATTTTGTGAAATGTCGCAAGCTACACTCAGATCATTCTGCGATACGATTTTATTCGTTTTAATGATTATCCGAACATATTTTTGCTTGAAAGTTTCGTGACAGTATAAAGTTAATAGTTACCTGAAAAGGAAGTTAGGGGGGAGGAATTTCCCTCCCCGTGGATCCACGCCTAGTTCTCCTTACATATAAAAAGGAGTACTATTAGATAAACTGTACATATATCCGTAATATCAAACAAAAAATCTTAAAATATGAAAATTTATGTGAACTGAAACGTATTTGTAAGTTATGCGACAAAAACATGTCCATCGGTGATTTCAGCGGAAGGCCTCGTCAGGGAAAGGTTCCTGATTCCAACTACCAAAAAACTCATTGGACAGTGTTTAAAACAGTCCATATTGTAAGAAAATTTGTCACCAGTCCAGAAAAAAAGATTTATTTTTCTGCGACCGAACCTATTCCGAAAACAACTCTGGGGAAGGAGAGTTTCATTTACCAACAAAAATAATTGAGAAGAAAACGTAAAGAAAAAAAATTCAACGGGTAATGCGCAAGAAACGAAATGTTTCCGTATAGAAAAACAACGGACTATTACCGCAAGCATTGGGACAACAGTGCAATATATCAAAGCGTCTTTGAAGTCAATATGACATTGAGTAGTTTAGCTGTGGATGAAAATTTCAGAATAACGAGATGGTAAAAAAAAGTGAGTCAAAATGAAAAATTGGCCTGTACCGTGTTCAGACCAATTGCAGGGTTATTGGCTCAAACATCTGGTAAGAGTTCATCACAGACTCGCTCAGCAGAGAGATGACCGTCGTCAAACGCGCTTCAGAATGGATTGGCCTGGACATGCGACGCTTGCCATCAAAGACTGGAAGAAGGGATTGAATTCGGTATCTATCGGCCCATAAGAACAAAAGGGTAATCGCAGACGATCCAGAGGAACAAAAGAAAAATTGGGTTGATTATTCACAAGATCTTACAAAAAGCAAAACGGCTTAATAACCTGCACGTCTCCTAGATCGACAACAAAATTGCGTAATGATTCTATTACATTTTGTATTGTGAAGCGCATAAAGATTTTAGGGGTTAATCAAAAAGTAATTATCAAGCATCTAAAATCGTGTGTGCATCTCTGAAAAACGCGCATTTCCGCAAGGGAACTCTCTCGGAAATGTCAGGATACAAGGGAAATTACAAAGGGACTCCGTCGATCTGTTCCTTATTGCAGCTCTAATTCTCTGCTGACTCGATTCTGGTATCAAACTTGAAAAGCGAGCCCTCGATTCTCTCACCTTCCCTACATGGATGACCTCAAGTTGAACGTAAAGTTCGCCAAATACATTACGGGTGTTCAGTAGTGACAACACAATGGAGTTCGACTAGGCAAATGCGCCGCTCTCAATATCCGCCGAGATATAATCAGCAAAACCTGGAATATCGAACTCCCAGATAAGACGGCAATAAGGAGCACGTCTATGGAGGACGCATACGAGTATCGAGGCTTTTAGTAGGCTCCGAATTACTGCCATGAATTTAAGTCATTCATCTTGAGTTTCCCAGACTAGGGAAAATCTGTTTCAGAACTGCGAATTTTCCGCAGAAATATCCTCGGCGGGCCCTGGTAACGAAAAAGTAAACAGTTATAAACAGGATATCCAGAATCTCCCGTTACAAAAAATTCCCCCAGATTCTATGTTGACTTTCATAAAGAACGAAAGATCCAAGTTTTTTCCTCTCGTCTTTCTTTTGCAGCTTTTCCATGCAAATCCATTTATCCCACAACAGTTCCGTAACTCCTGCTGATTTTGCTCCTTCAGAACTACTACCAGGGTCCCTTGACCTTCCAGAAAGGTTTCCATTTGTGGCACTGACATACACGCGAAATGGGCAACAGCTATGCCATTGCAGTCGCTGGATGACGACGTCCCGGAGCGTGCTCGCGCACTCCTGGTCGCCGGTACTGGGGATCCGAGCCCACGCACCGTTAGGTTTGAACATACAGGAACTTCAATAGCGATTTTTATTTTGTCTTCTAGCATTTTCACCTTACTACCAGGGAACCTTAACATACAACGCTACCCGGGCCAGGGAAGGGCTGGGGTTAGGTTTAAAACGGAGGAAAGTCGTTGGGAAGGTGTTAGGGTAGGGGGGTTGAAGAGAAGAGAGAGAGAGAGAGAGTAAGAAATTTGAAAGACACGCCCTATTCCTCGAAACCTAATAGCGTCGATGTCGAAAGAAGCAAGTGTTGGCCAAGGGATAGTAGACAGAGAGTAACAAGTACAAGTGGAAGAAATGCTTG